TGTATTGCAAACATCCTTTCCTGCTTTGCATTTTCTTTCTCTTCATGGTGTCTTTTGATCAAATGGAATTCTGAATTCTAATGACATCCATTTTTTAACTAGTGTTCTGTTTAAGGAAAATGTACCTACGCCAAGTTATGAGAATATTCTCCTAACCTACCGTCTGAAAGCTTTATGGTTTTCACTATTAAATGTTAAGTGAATACCTATTTCTAACATACCTAAATATCTGCATAAAAGATCATTTTATCCTATTTTGGGTCATAAGCCCCTTAAGACTTTGATGAAAACTATAAAACCTTACCCTAATCTTTAGGAAAAGTATGGGAGGAGGTTTTACCAGTCACCTTTACTATGATGACAAATTTATCTCCTGGACTTAGTCCCCTGACTCCGTTATATGTCTGTAAATGTAGGAAGCCTAGAATCCAAAAATGTGTTAAAATAGCAAACTAAGAAAGACAGAAGTGATTGGTTCATTCAATGGGGAGAGGAAATAACTTTTCAAAAAGAAAGGTGGTGGCCTTAAATCTAAAGAAAGCAAGTTCTGTTAAGCCATCCCACAGAATCAGCAATGGTTTCTTGCAGTAGACAAAAGCTTCGATAAAAGAAAAACAAAGTGGGGCACCTAGGTGGCTCAGCTGGTTAAGTGGCTGACTCTTGGTTTCAACTCAGGTCATGATCTCACAGCTCATAAGTTCAAGCCCTGAGACAGACTCTGTACTGACAGAAGGGAGCCTGCTTGGGATTCTCTCTCTTTCCCTCTCTCTCTGCCCCTATCCCACTTGTTCTCTCTCTCTCTCTCTCTCTCTCTCTCTCTCTCTCTCTCTCTCAAAAATAAATAAACATTAAAAAAAAAGAGAAAGAGGGGGCGCCTGGGTGGCCCAGTCATTTAAGTCCCCGACTTCGGCTCAGGTCATGACCTCGCGGTTCATGAGTTCGAGCCCTGTGCTGTCAGCGCAGAGCCTGGAGGCTTTTTTGGATTCTGTGTCTCCCTCTCTCTCTCTCTGCTGTTCTTCCCTTGCTCGCACTCTCTCTCTCTCTCTCTCTCAAAAATAAATAAACATTAAAAAAGTTTTTTTGAAGAGAGAAAGAAAGCATTTGTTTACGACCTTGGCAAGATACACAAGAACTTTAGTAGGTTACAGCAGTACATGAAATCCCAGATACAGTGGAACCATTGTTGGGAAACGTGGAACATGCCGCTGGATATGGCATGAATGTAAGTAATGAAAACTTTTAAGAACTATTTAAGGGGCTTACAAATTGAAGTGCTATATAAAGAATCAAAACCAATGAAAAGTAAGAGAGAAGACTAGAATCTTTGAATAAATATTGCAGCATAAATTGGGCAGTTTTTAGCAACTTCAAGGGAACACTGTTAATTTTTTAAAAAAGATACAGCGTTTTAAGGGATGTTTGAATGAAATATTAAGTACAATATTTACCTAAATTAAAACTTCTTGCTGGCACAATCACCATTGTTATAATTATTTCTCAATATATCGTGACTTAGGGGACTGCTTACTTATATCTGTCCATGCTCTCCTTGGGGGAAGAAAACCAAAGAAAGTGTAGAAAAAAGTAAAAGGGAAATGTAGAAGAGAGTTAAAGTATTTGAGATGGTGAATGTTTACCTTACTCCTACCACTCCACACCATGTACGCACTGTCAGACGTAGCAGATGAGGTTCAATCATTGTGGCATTCATGTATTCCTTCCACATTAATTCCACTAGAATTGTTACCAGGTGGAATCCTTCAAAACCAGATAATTAGAGGACACAAAGAATACAAAAGCAACAATATCTTCCTGACAACACAGGAGATACTTCTGAGTGACTAAACTTATACAGACTCCAGAAGATATTAAAGTAATTATGCAAGAAAATTGTGGGGATTTCGGGATATATATTCATACGAATGAGATCTGTAATGATGTGGAAAAGATGAACTCACAGGTTAGTCAATTAACTCACCAGTAGGATAGTGTAGCGCAAGGAATATGAGCTCAAGAGACAAACGGGTCGGTTTGGATAATATCTTACTCAATGATTAGTCTCTCAGGTCTAGTTTTCTCATATGTAAAATCGCTCTAAAAAATGCCTACACTGCAGAGCTATTTTGTGAACTATGAATATGTAAAATGCCTTAAGAGTAGACAATGGATAAAAGCTTATCATTAAGACTGATCCCATCCTTCTCTTTTCATGGGAGTCTTTTGCAGTTAGTTACTAAATGGGGAGAGACCTTGAAATCCCTTTCTAAATTGAGAACTCTGGGAAAAACAAATAGGGGATGCCTGAGTGCCTCAATTGGTTGAGCTGAGCGTATGACTCTTGGTTTCAGCTCAGGTCATGATCTCACAGTTCTCAAGTTTGAGCCCCACATCAGGCTCTGTGCTGACAGCACGGAGCCTGCTTGGGATTCTCTATCTCTGCTCCTCCCCCACTCCCAAACACATAAATACTTTAAAAAAGAAATAAAATAGGACAGTATGCTATCGAATTCTAGAAAAGAAAAGCTGGCAGCTTTCAAGTCAGGCTTGTGCCTGCTACCTCCCTGCCATGTGGGCTATGGGTGCTACAAGAACTTTTTATCCAAGTGCTGGTTTTCTGACAAGTAGCAGGAGCTTTATTTTTGTTGCTTAGTTGACTGTGAAGAATCACCATCTGTACAAATTGTAATTCTGATACTCCAGAGCCACACTGGAATTGTTCAACTAATTTCCATAAATTTACTCCGGTGGTCACAATTGTTCATCCTTATCAGTCAGATCCAGACCTCAATGAGACTATTGTGCAGCTGCAGGTGAAATCCTTTCTCGGCCTTCTACACCAATTCCCAGTGACCCTCAATCTCAAACCTCCATAGAGAATGTTCTGTTTGAGGTACTTATAGGCACATGGGCCTCATGAATAATCACCAACAAGAAAGACATTTATTTCAGTGTGAATTCCATCATTAACAATGCTATAAATAATGACAAGCCAGAGGAAACATTTTTAATTGGAAGCACATGGGCAAGGACTTTAGGTTTCCTTCTATTTCATTAGGGTGATTTTTGTTTCCACAGACATTTATTATTGTACCTGACATCTGATGGCTTTATGGGTGACTTTATTGGAGGTTTTACAGAAGACTTAAGCGGGCACAGATTAGCAAAGAAACAAGTGACAATGCCAAGCAGGGAAGAGATCATCGCTGCTTACGCAAGGAACGGAGAGGAAAGGGAAGCCGTCTGACTTTCACTTTTTCCACACGGAGACAATGTGAGGGATGGGGGGGATGAGGGAAATAGCACAGGGCAGAGTGCATGAAAACAGCCCATAGAAGTTATACCTTGGCACCTGAAAGGTACATGTGAACATCACACAGCAATGTAGTGACGAATAGGCCACATTTGCCGAGCACTGAACGGTGTGATGCTAAAGCAGAAAAACAAAAGGTACCACAGCCAAAATACTCGCATGACTCCACGGAAGGGCTGCCAGTTAGCATGGAGTCAGGACTGATTTTCTAGCAACCCTGCTCTCAATAATTTGGATTTAGATTCATCAGTGCACAGACTTTTGAACCGTAAGTAAATATATGTGTAAGAATTTCTCATTGTATAAATATAGAGTTAGCCAGTAAACATTTCAGTGTAATTTCAAGGAGATAAATGACACAATAGTCCTGCATATACCCCAATTTGTCTTTCATATGCATGCAATGTTTTATTTCCCTCTTTCAAGACTAAGAGATGCCCTGAGGTCCACCCCATTCATAAATCATATATAAACTTATTTGGCAGTAGGCTCATGGTATATACAAAGCAATGAAATTGTTTCAAAAATCAAAAATCAGAAAAGATAGTAATAAAAGCTAGCTTTTACTGAGCATAGACTCCCATGCATATTACTCATAGTAATATGTTTTTGTGTATATATGCATTTACTTAGATATAATATTCAGTATAAACATATGCAGGAATTGTTACCATCCACATTTTACTAATGAGTGAATAGGCTAAAAGCCATAAATGTCACTGATTTCTATGACCAGAAATAGAAACTGGGAGAGAACCCCAAATTATTTGACCTCAAAACCCATGATCTTTTCAACTACTTCAAAGTCGGTAAATGTCTGTAACCATGCTAGATATTCAGGGGATTGTGGAAGCAAAATAAAACATGTCTCACCATAATGATCTAAGATACCTATTTTCTAATAGATGATTTTGCATCCTGTTTGATTAAGAAAGCTCTCAGTTGCCGGAAAAATCTGTCTATAAAGACGCTAACAAAAATCATAAGAGAAAACAATTTGTAGACCTAATAATGCCTTTCAGGTGCATTATGTAGTTGCTTCATATTTTATTTCAAATAAAGGACTAAAATCACTATCCAGCTACCACAAACCATGTGCAATCTGCATTTTACTTCAAAACAAAGATTTATACAAAGCTAAGTAATAAGTGACATCTTGGGGGCGTACCTTCAGAGTTCATAAAACTATCAATTTTATTTTTTTGAAGAACAGAGGGTAAGGCTTCATAATTATGCAAAAGATAAATCATCTTGCTATGCAATTAATTCAAAATTACAATGGCAATAAAGGTACAGTTAAATTCGTATTGATATATGAAATTGTAAAGAAGGTTAATACACTTAATTGGCATTTAATAAGAGAGCTGCAGCAAGTTAATTGGATATCAATTTACTAGTTCATAAATGTCACTTATTTAAATAATTGAGCTCATTTCCTCAAGATAATGCTCATATAGTTTATTATGGATTATTAACATATATACATTTTTCTGTATAAAATGTGTTGGAGTCTTCCACATACACCTTATCAAACAAACATCGCTTTCTTATTTACTCATGTTTCTGTCATGGGCAGAAATGTAATGCATCAGCAGTCACCATCACAACTGAAATCCTCCTAGTTGGCCATTTACTATTGTTTTCTAAAGTCTGCAGAACGCATCTAGGTAAAATGCAAACTCCGCTCTTCATACCAAGTTCTTTAAAAAGAACTTGAATTTATTTCTTTCTCTTAAGCATCATTAACTTACCTCCATATGTAAGATTTTTCTTCTTGCTCTCTCTTGGAGTCTTCTCTTGGAAAATTTTGTCCCCGCAATAACTGCTCTTTAGTTCCATGGCCTTGGAGATGCTGGGTAAAGATTTAAAAAAAAAAAAAAAGCTGACTCACAAATGGGATCTCCTTCAGTTCATAAGTAAGCAGAGAAGGAAAAAGTTAAAATATTCTAAAAATCCATGATTTCATCAGTAACAATCTAATAAAGAAAGGAAAATGATATTATGTCACAAACTTGGAAAACCAGGACCATATCTATTGGTCCAGCCAGACTAGCTAGAAGAGGAGTCAAAAACAATTGCTAAAACTGTGTCAGAACACGTAGTTAATCTGAACTCAGCAACTCACATTAAGAACAAGATGAAAAATAAATGAGCTGGCAACTCTTCAAACCTTGCCTGGAACAAACATAACCAAAGGAACAGAAACAAATTCTGCAAAGGAGCTCCCTGCAATACCAGAATTGGATTAGACATTGGTGACAATTTGAATTCAATGAAATATATATAAAAAGAAAAATTATGCATGAAAAAGTATAATGATAAAAAAAGAAAGTAGAGCTAAGGGAATGTATTGAGCAAAAACATAAATCTAATAAACACACTGGAAAAAAAAAAACAAAGAACAAAACAGACATGGAGAGAAATCAAATTAATGGCATGAAAGAAAAGCTTGAGACAATTGCTGTGAAGGGATAAAGAAAAAAAGAATAAAGTAATTAGGAAGAAGATGATAAATATAAATGCCATTTAAAACAATGTAACCTATACTTCATTGTACCCTGAAATTGAGGGCTCAATATACTTGTTATGGACTGAATGTTTGTGTCCCCCTAAAATTCATATTTAAGCCCTAAACCTCAATGTGATGGTATCTGGAGATGGGGTCTTTGGGAGCTGATTAAGTTTAGATGAGGCCATAAGGTTGGACCTCTGTGATGTGATTAGTGCCCTTATGAAAAGCTTGCTTGCCCCTTGCACAGTGAGAAGGCATCTGTCTGCAAGCCAAGAAGAAAACCCCTATTAGAAACTGCAGCCTGCTGGTCCTTGGTCTTGGGGTTTCTAGTCACCAGACCTATGAGAAAATAAGTTTCTAGTAGGTTTAAGCCGCCCAGCCTGTGGTATTTTATTATGGCAAATCTAGCCAACCAATACAATATTAAGAGATAAGTTATTCAGAAATAGAATACAGAAATAGTGTTACGACATTAAGTAATTGAGTCTATATGGTGAAAGCATAGGTTATACATATGATACCAAAAAATAATTCAAAACAGTCAATATCAAAACATCCCATAGCTGTTTAACTTCAGAAGTAAAAAAAAAAAAAAAAAAAAAAAAAAAAAAAAAAAAAAAAAAAAAAAGAGCAGGTAGGAACCATGGAAGAGAAAACAGACTTTGTATCTAAAAAGGAGTGCCATACTCTAGGACATTACTTTGACACTGAGGTAAACCCTGGTTAACATTGAAATTCACAGAGGAAGAATGCATTGTTCAGGCCTCCTGTTGGAAAATCAAGTCACCCATAAGGAAAAAAATTAGACTACCTTCAGACATCTGTTCTGTAGTCAGAACACAGTGGTTCAATGCCTCCAAAGACTGGTGAGGGGGAAATGGTATTATCCACAAATACACCCAGTCAGGTTCCCTTTAAAAGAGAAAAGCAATAGGGGTGCCTGGGTGGCTCAGTTGGTTAAGCATGAGACTTTGGCTCTGGTCACGATCTCAGGGTTCATAAGTTTAAGCCCTGCATCAGGTTGTCAGCACAAAACCTGCTTCAGATCCTCTGTCCCCTTCTCTCTCTGCTCCCCCACCCTGCTCTCTCTCTCTCTCTTAAAAATAAATAAACATTACAAAAAACCTAAAAGAGAAAGGCAATAACCAGACATTTCAGATAATAAAAGTGAGGATTTACTCCATTGGGGTCATATGAACAGGGAAGGGAAGGGAAGGGAAGGGAAGGGAAGGGAAGGGAAGGGAAGGGAAGGAAAAGAAAGCCAAATGAAGATGAAATCAAGTTAAAAAGAGATGAACTGAAATAAATAATTGAAAAATGATGCACAATGGTAAACCTCAAATTAATTAAATACAAAAATTAAGATTAAACAGCTAAGAAAATGTGGTTAAAGAATAAATATAAATATTAAAATCTCTGACAAAACAAAAAATAGTATCTGTATTAAAAATGGGTAGGTAGAAAGGAAATGAGGTGGGAGTAAGTATAAAAAAAGCAAATTAAAAGATCTTTATGTCAGGGCATTTATTAATACTGTATAATGAATATTCAATTAAAATGAAAATACTTCTAAGTTTTTAATAATCTTTCAAACCTTTTAATCTTTCTTTTTTCTTGAAGGATCTTTCAACAACTGTATTGTGTCATGAAACCCTAATCTTGCAGTTTGGTAACTTCTTCCATTTTGATTTAGCTTCTTTTTTCTTTGGTTAAATTCAAATTAACTTAGTAAAGTATATGGTACTGTAACAATAATAGGTAAAATCTGATCCAATTCTTATAATTATTTTTGTGTCCACATATCCTTCCTACCCATCCTTCTTTTTGTATTGTGGCATCAATGAATGTCGAAAATTACGAAATTTAAATTTTAATACTGGTTATTCTAGAGTAGAAGGATTCTAAATAATCTCTTGATTCTTTCCTTGTACCTTTTTGCATTTATCAGAGCATGGTAATAAACATATATTGCTTATATACATTATTATAAAATAAATATATAAATCAAGTAATACATTTATCCTGATGCTACCACTAACTTCAGTGGCATTTTAATAGGTGTCATTTAACTATATGCAGATAGTATAAAATACATGTGAGAAATTTAAATAGAAAATTCTGAGTTTTAGGAACTTTACCTGCATCCGTTTTATTTCTCAGAATCTACTCATTACAAATCTCATCTGCTGGCCTACTAAACGTTTTTTGATGTGCATCTAGAAGCACTTTTTTTGTTTGGCCTAACACTGATTTTAGTAGCTAAGTGCCACAATAGTGAGGAAAGAGGGACACTAATACAATCTTCACAGTATATAAATGTGTGTACATCTGATTAATGTACAGACTGATCAAGGAACTTTTCACTCTATCTATTGGGGTCCAGTTTTGTGGTCCTGAGCTTCTGGTATAGATAGGACTTTCTTAATGATTCTGATGAGATGATTCCCTAGGATTTTTGTGCACCTGAAAATAACAAGTTCTTTTTTTTTTTCAGTTAGATTTTAGTGACTATATGCTATTGAAAATCTTATGATAGTCCCATACCCAGGATTTCCCAGAAAGCATAATCTTAGTTCATATTCATGAAGCTTCTCTGTTAATATCTGTGATGTACATTTAGTTATGCCAGCATCTTTGGAAATATACATAAATACACAAAGGCCTAAATTAAATCTGGCAGGTGTCAGGGATGACAGCATAATTTTATGCTAAAAATTTTGAATTTATTTTATAACAGAGGGCCACTTGAAACAACATTAACATTTCAGTGTTTCTTCTGTGACCGACTGAACCTTCCCTTCTTCACCAAACACATGATCTCTCTAGGACACAAACTTCATCTAGATTTTCCAAACTCTATACCATTGTTTATGGTTACAACCCATCTCATCTATTAGAACCCCCTCCATTTTTACTGAGGCTCAAATGCTACCGCGTCCTAAGAAAGCCTCCTCTCATCTCTCCTTGGGATTAGTTCTTCCACCTTCAGGGTCCCCAAAGCAATTTTTTCCCTCAGCTTCTGTCCTAATACTGCACATAACTGTCTCTTCTGTAAAATGTAAGTTCCTTGAGAGAAAGCACCAAATCGGATTACTGCATTATCTATAAATCTCATCCAGTTATTTTTCACTGTAAATGCTCAATCAACATTTTTTAGGTACCATATGGTATATATTAATTTAGGGTTAACTGTATCTAACAGAAAAGTACATATTTAAAGCATAACCAAATACAGTATATTTTCAAAATTCTAAGAATCATCTATTGTAATTACACAAGTTACAGTGCATGACCTTCTATAATTCATGTTTTCCTGTCCACAACAGCTAATGAGCTAAGAATCTCACTTAGGCACTGCTTTGCTTTACTTTTTGCAATTCTTTTATGTGACTGAAAATTTCACTTCTTTAAAAGCAGTCTGCAATTTGGCTTTTTTTATTAATCCTCTTATTAGCTCTATGGCCAGAAAAATACAGTTAGTAGGCCACACTATAGCACTATTGCTTAACTGATTATAAGATGGACATCAAGGGATTTAAAGGCCACCATTCATTCTGGAAATGTCTCCTTAGTCTGCAGTATACCTACTGTTTGACCAACGCAGCTGCAACATATCTTTTTTAATGGTATAATTTGTAACTCCTGTGACAGAGGAAGAGCATTTCCTGTACTTAGGAAAAGAGTTCACTGCCACTAAATTAGATTTTTTTGAGCAGCGCAAAAAGAAATGATCCTAGACAGCATCCCTGGATCATTGATTCAACGGTGATCAACTTATAGGGAATTGGCCTGTGTAAGACACAACAGATACGTGATACACTGATTTACTGAGTTTTCATTTGTTGAGAGAACCAAAGAAAATGAAATCTGCCACAGCCATTTGTTAATTTTTGCCATTTTACCAACCAGTGAATTTTCTATAATCAAAGGTAGAAGTTATCTGCTTTGGGTCCAAATCTAGCTCCAAAATAATGTTTAAAAAATTTTTTAATGAATTTATTTCTAACATTTCAAACTCAGGGGATTATACACAGAAACCCATTTTTTCTTGCTTTTCCTGAGAAATAAGACTATTTTGAGACATGGGTCTCAGTTTCCTGTATGTCAAAAATTTCAGAGTTGGATAACAAGAACCCTACCTTCAGAATGCCTTATACTCACCATGCCTTCTTGCTGAGGCCAAAATTCAGTTACATTGAAGCTGCTACTTTTCATTTAAAGTAAATAGACTTGTTTTTCTACAGTTTGAAGATTTACAGCAAAACTGAGCATATAGTACAGATAATACAGTTACCAAATACCTCCCGTATGTACATAATTTCTATTATTAACATCTTGCA